TTTAGGTCAAAACATCCTTGGGCAAACACAAACCCTAATTTGAGTCCACAGTGCAAGGAGAAGTCTTGAGCAGAGGAAACCCTAACTGGATCTTGATCTTCAAAGGTCTTGTGATGAGAGAATATTGAGGAAATGGGAGGGCAAATTTTGGGGTACAACAACTTTGAACAAGGTCACATCAACAGATACTATGTCGCATAAAAAAGGGTATCGTAGTAACACATTCCACATTTTTATGGTCATAAGTCTCTTTCTAACACAAAACAATTTATATCATGTTACTATGCGAAATCCTAATTTACTCATCCCATTTTTCGTCCTTTTTCATATAGGTGCAATCACATTAAGCCCGTTATACATACACACTTATAGTAAGGCGACCGATTAGTGATTTTGATCTTTTTTGCATAATTTTTTGGTACATAAGTTTGGTAACCTTTTTAATTTACCCAATTGCATCTGCGGGGGATCAGAACGTGATTCTCCCTACCAAGTTCAGCATCAAATACCTCTGAATCAACTAACAATGGGTTATTTTATTTTCTTTTCTTTTTGTAGGTTCCACAATCATTGGATTAAATGACCGAGTGAGGGTCATCTAACTTAATAAGTGCATTCCTTTTTTTGAATTAAAGCATTTAATTTTTTAGAATTTTAGGATCATTCACTTATATTCATTGGCTTCCCTACGTAGAGCATGCTTAAGATAGTGCCGACTGCTTAAATAAATTACTTAAAAATTTATTAGGGGCGAGATTCTAAGGCTAAGGCATAACAACTATACAAATCGATCTCTATAATTAAGAGACTTACTGTATTACCACGATATCGGTATTTCAGGACATTTTTCACGTTTCTAAAACACGTCTCAAGTTCTCCTAATAGCCCATAAATTCCGAATAAAGACTATTTCTTTGTTCAAAATTTCCCGATATGGCTCAAGAAAATGGTAGAAATTTAATAGACATCAAATACCAGGCATAAAGACTCGACAGTGTATTGACTCGATAAACGAACTAAAAACATGAAAAATATTAGAAGGACATAAATCTAACTAGAAAGCAAGAAATCTAATCTAGGAAACAAGTAAAAGGTAAAGTTCCTCTCCCACACTTAAACCAAACATTGTCCTCAATGTTTTAGTAAAAGTGGGAAAAGGAATAAGAACTTGATCAATGCCCAGCCTAGTAGTTGCATGCATGCATTTGATAGGTGTAAAGCGATTTATATCATTTTCTGTAAACTCAAACAAAAGAAAAAATATTAAATTAAAAACATGTGATTTACCTCTCATACAATGCTTCTTTTAATGTTTATATCTCGACGATTCAGGAGTGTACTCATTATGGTTCTTTCGAGAATGATTTCTCGTTCGAACTTTAATAATATTTGATTTTCATGGCCATTTATCAAGCCATCTTTCATATCTATCACCTTTTCTTTTCTTCCTTCTGTAGGATGGTTCATACTTCTGAACTTGTGGTGGTTCTTGCTCTATCCTGCGTATCGGCTTTTCAAGTCCGGGTTTAGTTCTTCCATCCACGACCTCAAAGGTTAACATTCTCCTATTAACAATAAGGATTTCCCTAGTTTCATGGTCATCAAATTTTCTCTTTTTATGCAGGACTTCAGATAAAGGTGCATTAGTATAGATATTTTCCAATACCTCTACATAAATTTTGGATTGGGAGTCTACCTTAGCTTCCACAAATATTTGGGGAAATAAATAGGTGGGATTTAGGGAGGAGGGACAACATAAGGTGCTTTCTTCTCTACCTCTTTTACAACCTCCCTTTCGAGTGGTATCGACAGATTTTTCTTAATCTCTACTCTTTTCTCACCAGAACCATCTTTAATACTCTCATTAGGATTTTCTATTTGTTCTACACTATTAGTTGTTACAACATTTGCGTTTATCTCACAGAAAGATCTTAGAGGTATCTGTAAATAAAGAAATTTGAGTCTCAAGTGTTATGTTGCTAGTCACAAGGGACTCAACCATAGTGTTCAGCTGCCTAAAGGTTTCATAATTATGGAGATTTTGTTTTCTAAACTCTTCATTTTGGAGAGTTTGTGTTGCCACAGACCTCCTCCACATAGATTCTAGCCTACAAGGATTTTGTGTCTCAATGAACTTCTCCATTATAAATTTTAGGTCGGATTTATGGGAATCCTGTGGTTCCTCAAAATACTGGGAGTGGCAATTGTAGAGAAATTTTTGGTGATACATAGTAATAGAGACAAGAATGCCTTATTCTAAATGACGTGACAACAAGGTAATAATAATTGACGAAATTGATCCCCGACAACAGTGTAAAAAACTTGATTGACTACTTAGTGAGTGTATTTTATAACTGCAAGTGCACAACCTGTCGAAGTAATATAAAAGATTGTCGAACCACAGAGACCAATAGTCAAATCTATTGTTACTAATTGTTACAGTGTTTATCTAAGAAGATTGAAAGCGCAATAAGAAAGAGATGAAAATAAATGAACTTTTAATAAAATCAGATTAATAACGATACTGGTATGTAAGTCATATCAATCAACAATACTCTAGCTGTCTTTATAAAGATCTCTTATCGGGCAATGTTTTATACTTTAAAAAGAATTGAGTTAACAAGAATTGTCGCTCCCACCGATTCAGAACCAAGTTTACTCTTTAAATTCACCCGTTCATTTGTCACATATGAGCAGTGCCTGTGGTGTTAAAGCAGTGGACCTATTTTTAAGAAATCAAACTCTTAACCTAGTTGAAAATTATTTTTAACCAGATAGTTTAACTTGAAAAGGTTACAGGCTTTCACCTAAATAACCGAATCCTAATCCTATAAACGGCGCGCTTTCATAAATTGTTTTAAAACATCCTTCTAGCAATATTAAATAATCTTAATTAATTAACAAAGTGCTTTCGCGATATTTGTTAACCAAAAACAAATCAATCTTAATCTTTTGTATCAGATGCCTTTCGATCTTACCCAACATTTCACTGCTTCACTTTCGTGTAAGCAGATTAAAATAAGTGCAGAAAGTTTGTATTTAAATAAAAAACATCCCATTCAGAAATCCTATAGAGACCATGTGTAGAGCATCACCTATTCACGATTCTCACATCTCAACATTAAGAATTTACTTGGACATGGTAATTGTAAATAAAACAATAAAGGTTTTAAGAGCAAAAGTAAACATAATGATAAAACGATTGAAATTAAACGGTGTGATAGAAATAAATAGATGAAGAGAAGCAGTGCGATAAATAAAGACAAGACAAATAAAATTAAGCGCAAAAATAAATTTAGAAACCTACTCCAAATAGAGTCTGAATCAGGTACAAATAAGATGAACTAAATTTTCGGAAATAAAACTTATATGGGTTCTCTAATCTTTAATACAGACTTATCATGCAATGAGATACACTTCGGTGTGAAAAGATCTGGCTACAGTTGGACAAAGTGTGGCCTAAGTGTGCACAAGAGAAATGATAAACAAAATTTTGTAACTAGGGAGTATTTATAGGGTTCCAAAAACCTTACAAATCCCTAAAAACCACATTTAAAGTAGTGGAGAAAATGTAGGAACGATTTGTTGATTCGTAGAGGCTAAGCAAACCCATTTCCAACCGTTTGGACTTCACAAAGGGTAGAGATCTCCATGCCCTTCATGGAAACCTCCATGAGTCAATTTTACATGATGTAGATCTAAGCGATAACTTTCTAACGCTTCAAACAGGGCATTATTTGGATTTACGGATAAAAAGTTATGGCCAGAATCGTCGGACAATGCCACGAGGGGAAAACCTCATGTGCTTGCTCCATTTCTTCTGTTTTTCACCCGTTTTGCTTTGTTTCATCACACACGCCTCATAAATTGCTAAATACCTTAAACACAAATAAAATACCCGCATAATAATGGAAATGCAAAATATAATATCAATAAAACATGCACAAATCAAGTCAAATAAACAATGTATTTTGGTGTCATCAGCCTGCAGAATTTTCAAACAAATTGGATCGGGGTGAGCTGGCTTAGCGTGGTATTTTGGGGCTAAGTTTGCTCTGTAGTGAAATTAAAAAACATTTACCATGGCCCATTTATGTTTTCCCCAAGGCCCAATAACACAACTTGCACGATTTTTAGGGTAAGTTAGGTTAATTTCAGCCTCATTTTCACTTTTCACCATAAATCATTGCTCTCTTTTACCTTTTGCTCTCACTCTCACAAATCCATTCAATTTTTTTCTACAAATTCCCCAACGCATTCTATATCTCATCATCATATCATAGGTTTGTTTGTTTTAATTTTGTTTTAATCAATTGGTTTTAGTTTTGCATATGTAGATTTAGGGATTTATGTTAAAAATGTCAAAATTGTTCCTCTTATGCATGTTAAATGATGTGTAGGTTAGGTTAAGATAGTGTCAAACATTCAATGTTGTTGATATGATCTACGTACAGTGATGTTTAGGGTAGAAGAATATGGTTAAAATTATGTTTGGTAACCGTCTGTGCATAAATTTTTTGCAGGGGTTCGCTGAGTGCGCTAAACGAGGCTTAGCGTGACTTGGGAGTTGAAATTTTTTTCTTCTATTTCTTTTGATGTTTAATTGTGATGTGTGGATAGATAGGGATTTCATAACTTAACTTGTTAAATTCTGATTTTTCTTGATGGGTTTGTGCTGGTTTCTTTGATTATTTGTGTTATAGATGACTCCTAAGTTCAGAACCAAGAAACAAAAGACAACTGCTGGGGGAAGCACTTCTCAGAGGCATGCTGGTCTGTTTAACAGAAGTAGATTCTTAGGGGCACAGTATGAGCAAAGGTACCGAGTTTTGTAAGGAAAATAAATATGGTCTGAGAGGTTTGTCCGAATTGAGCTAGAGGGGAGGTTCAAGGGATGCTAGGAAGTTATTTAGGTTAACAAATGGGAGAAGTTGTATGGGCCAACACCCAAAGTGAACTAAGAGATTGTGCGTTATTATTATGCCAACACACTACTAAATATGGAGGGTGAGCCATTTGAGTTCAAGACATGGGTGAGAGGTAAACAGATTTCCTTCTCAAGAAATGCAATAAGTAATTACCTTGGTAACCCTCTTCCCATGGAAAATGGCGATCTTTGTGAATACTATAAGACGGTGAACAGAGGAAAATGGAATTTTAGGTTTGTTAAGGACATGTTGGTGATTTCTGGAAGGAGTTATGAATTAAATATTGCGGGGCAACCATTGTAGGTTCTCCAGAAAAATATGCAGACTATTGCTCAAGTAATTATTACCGTGGTCCTATATAACTTAAGGCCACATAGTCATACTTCTTATATTCATATGGACATTTCCTGCCTTTTGTATTATATTTTTGGATGACAGGAAAGTTGATGTTGCACGGATTATTGCAAATGAGCAGAAGAATGTCACTTTAAGCGGTACCAGACATGTGCCATTTAACTTATCCTGGTTTAATTATGGGGTTGTGTAAGAATGCAAGAGTCCAAATTCATGCCGAGGGTCATCAAACCATTGAAGTTATTATTAATGACAACTTCATTGAGAGACTTTGTGTACCTAGGGATGCAGCTCCTCCAACAACTCCAGCTCAACAACCTTTTGATCTAGCATGTATGTATACTTAGGGCATGCTTAAGGAAAATCAAAGGGCTTTTATGTTCATGCATGACTCCATGCACCGGCTTCAATTACAGACCTGTAGAGTTTTTGGCTTATGCTAATTGGCCTGAGGACAAGCCTGTTCAACAGGAGGGGGCAGTTGTGGAAGAAGAAGTTGGTAATGATGATAGTTCTAGTGGCGAGACAATTGGTGAGGAGGGAGAAAGTGATGAGGATGAAAGCATGAGTGGCTGATGATGATCATGATCCATGGATTTAGTATTTAGTATTGCTTTTTGTTTTTTGATTAATGTTGTTTAGACTTATTGTTGGTTTTAATTGTTAAATGTTGCTTTATTTTGTACCATCCTTTTTAAGATTAGGTTTTATGTACTTTGGTGGCTTTACATGTCACCTAGACCTTGTAACACCATACTCTTTTGTGATGGTTTTGGATTTGTGCATTTAAGTTGTTTCGTTTATTTTGTGTAGTTTTTATTTATTGTTTAGGTAGTCTAATTGCAAAGCTTTTTAGTTTTATTAATTACTATAAAAAAATTTAGTTTGTTCCAAGTTTGATTAACTTGAAGGAACAAGTGAATGCTTCCTTGATTCAAATTGTTGCATGCAAATGTGGTGGTAATGATATTGCTTGAAATATGTACAAAAGTAAGTTACATGTTTACCGATTTCTAAACATACCATGATTTTGAAACTTGTAATTGTACAAATAACATGTCATCCATACTTTTGAAATACTTGTTCAATGATGAATCACTTTAGTTCTTAGCATAGAGTGAGGAGACTTTCCATGATTTATATATGAAAAGAGACCAATGATGCTTGTTTAACTCGTTTTTCTTATGCTTAGTCTTGCATTTGTGTTAATTTGTGTAAAATCTTGAAAGTGATCAAGGCATTTTTTGATTTTGAATATATCCACTTGACCAAAAATAATCAATCAACCTTGTGAGTGAGTGATAATTTGCTTAACCCCTTTGAGATTTTATGTCATGATCCATATTGATGAATGAATTGTGAAATTTGTACATGAATAATAAGTTCATCAACGATTTTTAGAATGGATCTTGAATTTGTTTCTTGAAACCTTGAATCATTGACCATAAATTATGGTTGGATTTTTTCCTTTTCCTTAGAAAGTTTAGGGAGCATTCTAATTATAATGATCGATCATATTTAAGTTAGGAAGAAAGAAGGAAAAGGTGGGTTGCTCAGAGGTTAAGAAAGAAAAATGTGAATACAAGAAAAAAAGAAAAAAGGAAAAAGAAAAGAAAAGAAATAAAGAAATGCGCTTTGATGAATAAGTGGCACACTAGTGTAGTAAAAAGAGTGTTGAAAAACACCTCTTGAGAAAAAAGAAAAGTGGTTAACGAAGTTGTAAATGAAAAAGAATTAGAATTTTGAATGCTCTATAAGGTCTTGGTGTGTTTGTTTCAATTACCTTGAGAAATTACCCATCTTTATTAACCATGACACATTACAACCATTAAAGTTCTTTGCGATTCATGCCTTTATAATTTTTAATTTGAGTTGCTTAGATGAATGCATTAGTTAATTTGGATGTTAGCATGAGTGTTGTGTGTGAGTTAGGTTCCTCATTTTTGTTCTTTATCCCTTGATGAAGAAGTGTGTTAGGAGTGATTCATGTTTGAACTTGTGTTTTATGTTTAGAACTAGTTTCTTAATCATGGTATTGTCTTGGTATAGTGGTAAACATTACTTTTCTTGTACTTTTGTAATTTGAACCATGCATTTGTTTCTTTCATTAAAGCTTGTTAATATTGTGAAATTTTGGAAGTTGGCTTGTTTCTTTAGGTTTATTTTGCTCTTGTTTGGGATAAACAAAGTTCAAAGTTGGGGAGAGTTGCTAGGGGCTAAATTGTGTTAATATTTAGTATAGTTTAGTGGTGTTTTTCAACTTTATTCATTGTATACTAATGTTAATATCCCCTATTTAGTGTAAATAGTCGCAAATTAGTTTTATCGAGTAAATTTTATATAGACTAATCATTTTGGGCTCAAATTGTAGCATTATTCATTTTGTTGAAGTTTGGAGCGTCGTAGGCCTAAGGATTGGCTTCCAATGAATTTTGAAGAAGAAAATCTATGCTACAGGTCAGGCTAAGCGTGGTTCTAGAGCGCTAGGAGTAGACAGGGCAGAGACTTGCGTGCTAAGCCCGGTCTGAGGGTGCTTAGCGTGAGTTAAGTCAATTTGATATTTTAAGTGGGAGCGCGCTTAGTGGGATACATCAGGATAAGCGCGGACTACTAATTTTGGAGAATCTATAAATAGATGCAATTAGATATTTTTGGGATGTTACCACCTTTGAGAGAGATAAATAGCACAAAAACACTGTAGAAACTCAAAAGTGAAGAATCAAAGCTGATTTACGCATCAATAGTCAAAGAATCTTCATTGATGATTGATCATCTCATCATCTTTACTTGTTGATCATGCAACCATGGTTATGGGTAGCTAAACCTCCTTTTGTGTCAATATTAGAGGTAGTTAACCTAGATAACATGCATTCTTTTGATCTTTTATATGTGAACTAAGTTGATGATCAATATAGATGAATATCTTTGCTTTTAATATCATACTTTTGATTTGAATCATTATTGAATGATATTTTTCAAACCTTGGCCTAAGATAGTCATCTATCAATGAACAAACTATAAACATAGATTTGTGAGTTGATATTCACTTGTATTAAGCTCTAAGATTATTGTGTTGATTGAGCATGAAACATCCTCTAGTAATTAATATGATAATATTCATGATATTGTTTTAGAGATAAACGGTATTGAGAGGATACGTGATTATAATGATTATAATCAAGTTCACATGCTCGATTAATAGGATATGTATGAAATAGGTTAATGAACCCTAATATTGACATGATTTTTAAACCGTTCAAACTTCAACTTTTTACTGTTGTTACTAACTTTTCATGCAATAGTTACTTTCTGTTACCAAAACCCTTTTAAAACTTGTACTTAAAACATTACCAACTGAAGAACGACGATAATATCACATTGTTGTACCCCAAAATTTTCCATCTCATTTCTCAAGAATTTTCTCACAAGATCTTCCATGACTCAAGTTTGCAGCACTGATACATCAATTTAGGTATGGAATTGGCACAAGGGCAAAATGGTCAAAATGCACACTAAAAAGTCAAATTTTGACTTTTTGATCAAAATCAAGTTTCAAGAATCACATTTCATCAAGACGTGTTAGAATATGAAATTGGTTCACCAAGAAAATCAAAAGTCAAAATTATCTTGGAAAAGTCAAAGTTTTAAACACTTCGAAATTTTTCTAAGTGTTAAGAAAGTATGATAAGTTCATAACTTCTGGCCAGATTTTCATCATGATGCAAGACGATTCAGGAAGAACTTCCGACACAAGAGTTGTATATATCAATGAGATTTAAAATATTGCAGGATAAATTTCCTTCTAGAAATGCTGGGATTTCAAGTTATACATCCTTGAAGGCACGTCCATGAAACTAAAACACTTAGTAAATTCTGAGCATTTCCAAGTCAGGATTTGATTAGAACTTCCGGGCCAGTTTTCACATAGGTACAATTAGAGTTTGCAAAAGTGATTCAAAGAGGGGTTACAAAGCATGTTACAAGCTTTCTGAAAAGTCTGAGAACTCCTCCAGATCATGCTGGAGCAGGAAGAATCAAAGATCAGAAGTTGGATATTTGTTCTTAATTTAAGTTACGTTTATGCTAAACTTCTGATCCAGTTTCAAGCTAGGCTGCATAATCTCATGTTGCAGGCCTTCTTGCTTGTTAAATCTCATCATAATTTAATGCTCACACTAACTTTTGAGTCATTACCCCAATGTTTAAGCCTTTATCCAAAAGATCTTCCCACGTGTGGCATAAAAGTACTACTGCTATCCTTGAAAAGCAAACTTTTGTACAAAGTTTATTTTGAGCCCATACTTTACTTTGTTTCTGAGTGTACTTACCCATAAATCATGCCTACAAACTCAGATTAGGCGTGATTAAAGGTGCTAACCACCGTACCTTTCCTGGAAACCATGCTTGTCTAACTTGCTTCAAAAACAAGTCAACGATCCATAACACATGATGGTTGAACTCTTGATTTATCCAAGCTTCTAAATCCTTTGCCTATAAATTAAAATTCATTTGCAAATTGAAAGGAGGATTGAAAAAAGCCCTGAAACCTTGCTGAAAATTCCCAGGAACCTGAAACTGCAACACAAACACAAAAACCTGCTAGTTTCTGATTTTTGCATCCAAACTCTAATTTTTCTTGTGCGTTTCTTTGCAAAATTATCCATACAGTTTCTAGAATACATGTAGAAGCCTTCCCAACTTCTGTTTTCAAACTGTAATACAGTCCTCATCACTCTCCATTTCAAAAGTCAGAACTTTACATCTTGACTGCTCCAGAGCATTCCAACCAGCCATAACTCAAGTTAAGGGTTGCTTTAGCTTTCTGGGAACTTGAGGAAGCTGACCAGAAGATCACAGCAGTCTGAACCAGGCTCTAACTCACAGAACAATTTCCATATGCAAGGTAAGTTTATTCTGATTTTCATCTCATTACTTATGAATTGTTAGGCTTGCAATTTCAAAGACACAATGTAGATATCATGGCTCTGAATCTGTACATATTTATAGATTTCATTTATATGCCTTAGGTAAAGAGAATTTCAGATAAGAACTTCTTGAGGAAATTAGGGTTCAGAATTAGGATTAACAAAATTCATGTTTGCTTCTGGTTTACAGTTTTGATGCTTTGTATTTCTGAAACCATGATGAAATTTTCCATAACTTCTATGTTTGCATTTTTCATTTTTGTTGAGAAATGACTAAGTTACAGATACTCTGGCTGGCACGAAGGAGAAGATGAAATTCATCATCAGAACTTACTTTGTAATATATGTTCATGTTTTTGTTTCTAATACCAGATGTATAACCACTCTAGTGGTATAGAACGCGCGTCTAAGGCATTAGTGTTAAGGGTCCTGGGTTCTAGCCCCAGAAGCATCTTTTTATGTTTATTTCTTGACATTTTTTCCCCATTATTTGTCAAACAATATTCATTGATCAGAACTTCTAGATAAACCCCTTCATTTATTTGTCAAAATAGTACTCCTGGACCAGAACTTCTAGATATTCTCATCCAACATCATCATCACTTCACTTACCAATTAACAGAACTTCTAGCCTTCCAGTAACACTAGAGC